TCCCTCCATTTCATCCAGGCCGCATTGATGGCCGCATAGAATTAAATGATATTAAATGAAATATTGGAATGCGTTATCTAGAATCTGGTTTTTAAGTAAACCTTATGTTCTTACGCATATTGAATGTCAGTCCTTATCTGCCGTTATCACTTTTGTACCCCACCAACATGTTCCCGTCCCACCCTGTACATCACTTCTTGGAACCAACGCCCCACTGCTGCTGGGACGCGCGCTATGAATTTCGTGAAATTTGCGTTTTAGCGCCTCTTATCAGCTCTTATCAGTCGTTATCACTTCCCCCCACCAAATATGTTCCCGTCCCACCCTACATCACTTCCAAAACCAACGCCTCACTGCTGCTGGGACCGCACTATGAATTTCGTGAAATTTGCGTTCTAGCGCCTCTTATCAGCTCTTATCAGTCGTTATCACTTTCTGTCCCCACCAAATATGTTCCCGTCCCACCCCTACATCACTTCTTGGAACCAACGCCTCACTGCTGCTGGGACGCGCGCTATGAATTTCGTGAAATTTGCGTTCTAGCGCCTCTTATCAGCCCTTATCAGTCGTTATCACTTTCTGACCCCCACCAAATATGTTCCCGTCCCACCCTGTACATCACTTCTTGAAACCAACGCCTCCACTGCTGCTGGGACGCGCACTATGAATTTCGTGAAATTTGCGTTTCAGCGCCTCTTATCAGCTCTTATCAGTCGTTATCACTTTCTGACCCCACCAAATATGTTCCCGTCCCACCCCTATATCATATTCAAAATACAGCGCTCCATGCTGCAGCGAAGCGCGCTATGAATTTCGTGACACACACACACGGACAGGCCCGACAGACTTAGCGCTTTATATACCAGATTAGTCCCCCGTCAACCGCCGGGACCTTCCTTCCCTGCGTAAACTTTACGTCCTTTCGCTGTGGTCCCTTCCACCAACACCTCGCGTAGGTGACGCGTATGCTACAGAAAAGGAGTTTCATATAGTGGAGTTTATCATAATATGACGGTAGATTTTTCGCTCCCTCCTCATCCTCCCTCTCTCCACTGCCCTCCAGCTGCCACTGCAGCACCATGTGGAATGAACGGAAGTGTGCTAAGCAGGTGTTTATATAGCCCTAAGAGTGTTATCACAACTATCCTGCTACAAAACATTGATATCTCAAATCCTGCGAAGCTACCCGATTTGTTAGCGGTTTGTTTATTCCCATGAGCTGCCTTATCACTCACTTCATTTTGCGGACGGACAGACCATATATACAGACATACATACAAACCGACATAAAGTGTACCTGCTGAGCCAACCGCTCTTCTACTCATTATTTTTACTGTCTGTCTGCATTTCTGTCAGTTTTTTTGGATGTGCTTGGCAAGAAGAAAAACTAACTTCGAGAAAGAAAAAGTCAGGGAAAGGAAGAAATGCGGTGAAGGATACCACGCAAACACGCGACCTTCCCCCAGCCAATCTACTACAGTTTTGGGAATGTTGGCTCTACTTTCACGATGATTCCGTATCTTTAGAGGTGCCCTACACATTTTCCGTCAAACGTCTCTAACGCACGCTGAAGTGTTCTTCAAAAAAAAATGTTTCAATAAAGGTAGAATTTTCGAGACCCTTCGGGAGAATCGGTTGCTTCTCTGATAATGCGACGATTATCTCGAAGGAAATGCCTAGAAAAATATCCGGGCCTTTTCTAAATTCTTTACGCTGCAGAATTCTCAAAATAATTCGACAAAATGATTAATACGCACATAAACTGGCTGAAACCAAGCACAATTTACCAGCTTAGCTAAATTCCTACTCTTGTGCAGATTTTGCCTTTTTCTGAGTCCGACAGAGGGTTCCTTTCGTCATATATGTAATTTTATTCTTTATTCCTAGGTATCACTTCAACTTTTTCTTCTTTCCTTCTATTTTATAAAGCGCTAACTTTGTGTGTCGGTTTGTATGTCTGTATGTGTGT